TATTTAATTATATGAAAATGAATTTAAAATACTTGGAATACAGTTTATTGGCATTTTAAATTTATATCGTTCAAAGAAATGTAAAAACTATTTAATACTTATCCAGCTGCTACACTGTGTGCACCTGAATGCTTACACTTCGTTCACCTCAAATATGAGATACAATTAGATCATGATATACATAAAGAACTACAACTACACTGGCATACAAAAGTATGCTGCAAACTTTCAGCGATTCACAGTTGAAGCAGCACTGAAGGGCTTTAGTACGATTTTATTTAGATAACAACAAAGCGGCGCGACTAAACGTGAGCTAAAAAGCCATGAATCAATGTCAAGTTAGCCAAATAAGCCCTATGCCTTGAACTTTATTATTGTTTTCGCAGTATCACGTTGTCGGCCAAACCAAACAGACGCACAGGAAACATGAAAGCTGTATTCACAATTTTGCTGCTTACCCAATCGCTGGTAAAAATTACAAGGGATTTTTATTTTTCTTGAAATTTGAATTGTTATATATATGCATATATGTATGTATAGCACCTGGAGCAGGCAGAGACATCACGAAGTCTGGAGAGTTTGGCGGAATATTTGGAGCATCATAATTTGGCTGGAGCGGGCAATACGAAGCAATGTTTTGCCAGATATTTGCCGCAGCTGGAGCAGGTAGGCCGTACATGGGAGACGGCATACGCTGACTGCCAAAAGCATGCGAATAGTGGGCGTGACACCGTTTTCAGCCAGGTAGGTGGCATGCAGCAGCAGATACGGCAGGCAGCGATGCGCATAGATAGCTACATAGGCAGCTGCCTGAACATCTCGAATGTGCTGGACTACTTCGATTGCTTTGCCAAGCTGGTAAGTCGAGTGCGCTAGCGAAACGACATCATGGCCTAATCAACAACTTCCATTGTCAGTCCAAGCAGCAGCTCATGACGATGTATAACATCTCGTTTAATGCGTCGGAAAGTGCGCTGGCTATAACCAAACAGCTGAATGGCATCGACGAGGAGCGTTATCTCTGCACGAATCGCACCGAGCATAGCTATGTCCTGGACACAGCGAAGATATTCGATGCACTGGACAAATGCCTGCAGGATGCTGCGAAGGTGGCCTAGGCCATAGGCAAAAGTCTCTATCCAAATGCTTTACTAATACATCTATATTCGATTTTGATGCTTCTATATGTGTATATATATATATGTATATATGTGTATATATTGATCGATCAGTTCGCATCCATTGCGGCCACCTCTCTGCGACACTCTTGCAGCTCCTCGTTCGCCAATCGCATGCTGCCTATATACGCCACCTGGGCATCGAGTGTGCACAACATCAGCGTCTGCTGCACTGCATCGAAGTCCTGGCGCAGGCGTGTGTGGGCGCTTGTTGCATTGTAATTAATCGTAGTCATCAGATCCAGATTCTCGTTGCCCTGAAAGTGCAAGAGACATGGATTAGTTGAAGGCGATCAGGGAGCTTTACATTGAGCTGTGAAGAGAATCAAAATAAACTTTCAAAAGCATTACAAACTTAAACTTTCCTTGGAGCTTTGAACCAATAGTTGATAAAAGCCGAAATTCAATTGATCTTATAAAGCTATTAGCTTGCATTGAATATTTTTCATTCATTCGACGAGAGTTGAACTGCAATTTATGGGCTTGAACTAAAGTTAGTATAGTTCTTAGTGTAGGCTTAAAGAAATCCTGAACAATTTATATGAACTCTAGATAATAAACTGATCTATTTGATATTACCCTTAGGTCAACAGCTTGTAATGAGCTTTTATTTAAGAACATTTTAATAAGCTTATATTTACAAAAGCTTTTAATGCGCTTTTTACAGAACGTATTTGTTTTTATGTTAACATAAAGATTTTAATTATATTTACAAAACTCTTTTTTAATTTTTTTAATTTTAGATAAATTTATAAACATGTTGTCACTAACTTTCAATATTGTTTACAACGAACTAAGAAAAAATTGTTATTATAATTTTATTATATACTCATGATTGTTGCCAACAAAAAGTTACTGATAAATTTCTAAATTTTTCCGCTTTAAAGCACTTGAGGTCAATACCTGAGGCGTTTTAGATTAAAAGTTCTATAGAAACTGCCTACATTCAGGTGGGGTTGTTACGCCGCATAGCATAGCATAATTAGATTATTAACTATAGGCATACTTCCAATGACTTTATGCAATCAATAGAGATTAGTTTTATGGATTCAATAATTTAAAGTATTAGTTAAGCTCTTAATAGGGCATTTATTAGTGTACGATTAGACAGCTAGTGCTCTTCAATTTTAATTGCACATATAGTAGGTCTTAGCTACTGTTGCCTAGAGTATAGCACTTACATGATCCTTGTGGCACTCCAAGTACTCGAGATCGTCGTCAAGTTGATTGCACAGCTCGAAATTGCTGCACAATGCACTGTGGCCCAGCTGGATTTGTTCACGCTCCAGCTGGACATCGATGGTGAGATCGATCTGTGTCTCATTCGCTGTCAGTTCGCATCGCTCGTATTCAATGGCATAGACGCTCGAGGCATTGGCAAACGCCTGCATATACTCAGTGTGACACTCGTCGAGTGTCGCGTCGGGCCATGGAATGGGTATGCCTGCAGTCAGACTTGGAGTCGTGTCGCATGCTCCACGCATGCAAATGCCCATCAGTAGCACAGCAGCCAGAGCCACATGCTGCCTGTGTTGACCGAGTTGTTGCAGACGGCGTCGGCTGGTCTCGCCAACCAATTGATTCTCAACTTGTACCGCACACATTTAGCTATAAATTGTGAATGGCGCTTCGCACAGTTTGCCGTCTCAAGTGAGACTCGAGTGTGTTATTGCTGAAATTCTGTATAATTGATATTTCCTACTAATTCACACAATCATACAGTACAACACATAAACACAATTTGAGCAGTAGTAGTATATATACTATTATTGATAAAAAATTGGTCGAGGGGCAAAAAACAAAATATAAAAACGATTGTAAATTTACCTTGCAATAAAAATATATATAGTGGCCACGTGGGTGAGCTTAAGAAATAGAGAGATGAGCGCTGAGTCTTACAAATGCAGTGACAGGTTAAGAACATACATATAATAGACACTAGATATAATTTCGATTCAGGGTATAAAGCCCCCGACACTGAAGAATAAAGAGAATTATAAAACAGAATACCACTCACATTGTGCTTATTCAATTGGCATTACAGTAGGTAAAGTGCAATTAGTTTCTGATCGTAGCTGATCTATCGTTACAAAGGACCAATGCAGAAAGAAAAATGAATCATTTGATCAGTCATAAGCTATACATCAGATTCATATTTTCCCTACTGTGGGATTAATGACGAAATATATGCTTTTCCAATAATTAAAAAATTAGAATTTATTATTGAAAATTATTATTCATAGCCATTTATCTTATCATGTCATAAAAATACTTATATACCATATACATGTCTTGGCTGATTACCTGAGTATGCAAACAACTGATAAGCTTTATGAATGAATTGCATTTCTTGTCCATCCTAAAAGTATGCAGCCCCTCCACTCATTTCATTACATTTCAACTATTAATAAATTATGAATTCAAAGGTTTTTTTTTATATATACATATATATGCTTGCCTTGACGAACTATGCTAATTTCGCTTTACAATCAGACGCAAGTTTAGAAAACATGCTTCAGCTTATTCATAAGCTTTCCGAAGGTCAGCGACATCATATCGATGTCTTCTTCTGGCATCTTTTCTGTAGTGAATATCTGGGGCTCTGTAGTATCAATGGATACTGGAGCCTCTGTAGTGTCGACTGGAGCCTCGGTAGTGTCGACTGGAGCCTCGGTAGTGTCGACTGGAGCCTCGGTAGTGTCGACTGGAGCCTCAGTAGTGTCGACTGGACCTTCGGTAGTGTCGACTGGAGCCTCGGTAGTGTCGTCTGGACCCTCGGTAGTGTCGACTGGAGCCTCGGTAGTGTCGACTGAAGCCTCGGTAGTGTCAACTGGATCCTCAGTAGGGTCGACTGGAGCCTCGGTAGTGTCGACTGGAGCCTCGGTAGGGTCGACTGGACCCTCGGTAGTGTCGACTGGAGCCTCGGTAGTGTCGACTGGACCTTCGGTCGTATCGACTGGAGCCTCAGTAGTGACGACAGGAGCCTCGGTAGTGTCGACTGGAGCCTCGGTAGTGGGGACGGGAGCCTCGGTAGTGACGACTGGAGCCTCGGTAGTGACGACTGGAGCCTCGGTAGTGACGACTGGAGCCTCGGTAGTGACGACTGGAGCTTCAGTAGTACTTGACTCAGCACCACCATTAAGACAAGCATNTCTGATCGTAGCTGATCTATCGTTACAAAGGACCAATGCAGAAAGAAAAATGAATCATTTGATCAGTCATAAGCTATACATCAGATTCATATTTTCCCTACTGTGGGATTAATGACGAAATATATGCTTTTCCAATAATTAAAAAATTAGAATTTATTATTGAAAATTATTATTCATAGCCATTTATCTTATCATGTCATAAAAATACTTATATACCATATACATGTCTTGGCTGATTACCTGAGTATGCAAACAACTGATAAGCTTTATGAATGAATTGCATTTCTTGTCCATCCTAAAAGTATGCAGCCCCTCCACTCATTTCATTACATTTCAACTATTAATAAATTATGAATTCAAAGGTTTTTTTTTATATATACATATATATGCTTGCCTTGACGAACTATGCTAATTTCGCTTTACAATCAGACGCAAGTTTAGAAAACATGCTTCAGCTTATTCATAAGCTTTCCGAAGGTCAGCGACATCATATCGATGTCTTCTTCTGGCATCTTTTCTGTAGTGAATATCTGGGGCTCTGTAGTATCAATGGATACTGGAGCCTCTGTAGTGTCGACTGGAGCCTCGGTAGTGTCGACTGGAGCCTCGGTAGTGTCGACTGGAGCCTCGGTAGTGTCGACTGGAGCCTCGGTAGTGTCGACTGGAGCCTCAGTAGTGTCGACTGGACCTTCGGTAGTGTCGACTGGAGCCTCGGTAGTGTCGTCTGGACCCTCGGTAGTGTCGACTGGAGCCTCGGTAGTGTCGACTGAAGCCTCGGTAGTGTCAACTGGATCCTCAGTAGGGTCGACTGGAGCCTCGGTAGTGTCGACTGGAGCCTCGGTAGGGTCGACTGGACCCTCGGTAGTGTCGACTGGAGCCTCGGTAGTGTCGACTGGACCTTCGGTCGTATCGACTGGAGCCTCAGTAGTGACGACAGGAGCCTCGGTAGTGTCGACTGGAGCCTCGGTAGTGGGGACGGGAGCCTCGGTAGTGACGACTGGAGCCTCGGTAGTGACGACTGGAGCCTCGGTAGTGGGGACGGGAGCCTCGGTAGTGACGACTGGAGCCTCGGTAGTGACGACTGGAGCCTCGGTAGTGGGGACGGGAGCCTCGGTAGTGACGACTGGAGCCTCGGTAGTGACGACTGGAGCCTCGGTAGTGACGACTGGAGCTTCAGTAGTACTTGACTCAGCACCACCATTAAGACAAGCATTGAAATCTGCATCACATTTCTCAAGATCACGTGCATAATCCAGACGAGCAGTATCCACGCATGTTTTCAGATCGAAATTGATGATATCGTACTTAGCGGAAATCGTATTGAATTGAATATTCGCATCGCTGTTCAGTGTGAACATTATTTTGTAGCTGTCAGTGGACTGAAAAATAGTTATAAAAATATGCAAATGAGTATAAGTAAAATATTATTTGATACTAAGCTGTTCAGTTTGTCATCCGAAATAACGATCGATAAGGTCATTTCGTAAAGAATTTCAGTATATTTCTGAGTACTTACCGCATTGCGGTAGCAGTCGAAGAACTCGAGACCATCGATATATTTATCACAGCTGCTGAGAACACCGCACATGTTATCGCTACGAAACAGTAAGTCCTGGCGTATCACAGCACTCTGGGCGGTCAGCTCATTTTTTTCCGATTGAGCTGTGTTCACGCAGCCGGTGTAAACTTTGTTGTAGCTAAACATGGCACTTTGCTGATTGTCGAGATATTCATCAAAACAGGTGGTGACCAAATCGGCATGGGTATTGACAGCGTGAGCAGAGATCAAGAAACGCATGGCATTTTGCTGACGCGTCAGGAATGGCTGGAAGTCAACATCCTGGGTGGAATAGAAGGCATTGCAGCCTGCGGCTAACACTAAGCACAGAGCAATTGTATATTTCATAGCGAACACTTTTTTTTTCTTTTTTTTTTGGTTATTTTGCTGCACAACTATTCCGATTTGTGAATATATCCTGGACGTGGGCGAATGTAGTAACTGAACTGACTTCCAAATTATGCGGGCATTGCTTATATAGCTGTCAAAATTGGACTGCGTGAACAGTTATCTAGTGGAAGTTTAGAATAGATTTTAGATTAAAAACTAATCAAATGCGCAAACCTCGTATAATGATTGCATCGCTCCGAAGACAATTATGAAGAAGACACTTGCTATCACTACTCCTGTGAGTGTTGTCAATATTATCACAAGGTCAACGCATGAGTAGGGCCGGCATTAGATAAGGCTGACTACTACAATTAAGGCGCAGGTGCACCAGTGGAGGTATCACTGTAGCTACTACTACAAATTTTATGAGCTGACACAGTGAAACTTATCAAGGCGATAAACTATTGGCATTTATAAGTTCTTAGTCCAAATCGACGTTTATTATGAATTTCGAAATATATTGTTAGCATAGTAAACAGCTGAAAGAAAGTCTATTAGATAGTAATTTTAAGTGTTATTTATAGACTAGACGATTCTAATCGCTGAGACAGTTCAGAGTGGCGACATTCCAATGAAATTCAATTATGATTTGATTTAATAAATTAAATAGTTCAATTGAATGTTAAGTTCTCCCCAGTTGTAAAGAAAGTCACGATCATCCGAGTCCATTGTTCAAAATAGTTATTTATTGAAAAAATCTATAAACATTTAACAATTTGAACTGAATATGCAATGAATTAATTTTTTTT